CTCTCTCTCTCTCTCTCTCTCTCTCTCTCTCTCTCTCTCTCTCTCTCAAAAATAAATAAAAACATTTAATAAACAAAATTTTTAAATGGATAACAGTAGAATCTGCCCAATAGAGTTATTGAGAGGATAACATACGAAGCACCTAGAACATATATATGTATCACCTTCTCCCCATCCTCCTCTCCCTTCTCCTAAATAGTTATCTCTTTTGGGCATTCTGTTCTGGTAACATTAGGAGGGGGTTGGTACCCCTCTTCTTCGGTCCTGTACCATCCTATATATTCCTTATTATATGTACATTATTCAACAATTGTCTGGGTTCTACCTTGAAATCAATCTGTTTGGCTAGGATGTAAAGCCAATTTGTGACAGTGTTGTTATTCAAAGTGGTTCATAAATATGTTACCAAAGAGAGCTGTAGTCTGAGGAAGCTGGAGTTATAACTGGGGAAGGAGCAGATACTGTCAAATCTGAGGATTTGGGAGATTGTGAACACAGGTGAGAAGTGGTTGAAGACAGGGGGAAAGTTGGCAAGAGAGGATCAGATATACTATAGACTGGGTACATACATACACTGGCAAACCTCTAATTTAGAAGGGGTTCTGGGACCGTGCCTCTGGGTCCACACCACGCATGGCAGTACCAGAACAGACCGTGATTGTTCTACCCGTGTTCCTAAAGAAAAAAAAGTGTTTTTTTCATACTTCTTATACCATATTATAATTTTGAAATTAATTTTAATCATACCAAATTCATGAATGGTTTAATTTAAAAAAATTACAATGAGACTAAAGACCCCTTTCTAGACCACCTTTAATTCCAATCTCCTCCCTCTCCCCAGAGGTGACAAGAGAGTTGGCTGAATCCCAACTAATTTCATCCTGTGTCTTGCCAAAATGCAATGTCTACTGAATCGTATTTATGCCAGGTTTCTTTTGTTTACTGATTGGGAAGAGTTGGAAGTGAGAATAGAAATGAGGGAAATTGGGTATACTTGGAGAACTCCCCTGAATTCCCAAATGTGAATGAGCCACCTTTGCTCCTTGAAGTGGCCCCTCTCCCCACACTGAGGAGGCTCATCCTGTTGCAAGAGTGTTGCTTTCTCTTCTGAGGAAGAGATCTTATTCTCCGTGAGGCTCCTTCATCCCACTCCTCAGCCTCTCCAGACCTGTAACCAGGGCATACTCTCATGTAAATTATGATGTCAAATTGGAGGAGAAGCCTTTATACAAATTTGCGAATTTTTATCAGCAGAAAGCTGGGGAATACATGTGGGGACAGATTTTGAGGTTGCTTGACTAAGGAAGCAAAAAACAGAATTTCAGATGAGACCGGATCTATTGACATGGGTATGTATATTTACCAGAAGTTCTGGATTCTGTGGGCTAGCTTGAGCAGAGGTGTTTGCTTCTAATAGTTCATTTGATTAGTTAACGAAAACCTAGTTTCGACAGCAGCTCATGCTAACTAAAAAAAGAAGCCAGAAATGTCTTGGAAAGTAAAGCCTTGTGGAGATAGAAATGTTGAAGTGGATTCAGGTGTAATTCATTCAAAAAAGCATTTACTGGGGCGCCTGGGTGGCTCAGTCGGTTAAGCA